CACCACCACCACCACCACCACCACCACATCTTGGTGTCGTGGCCGGTGCGTACAGACGGTTGCATGAAGAAATGCCCGCGGGGCATGTTTGCGGAGATCAAGTACGACGGCGAGCGCATCCAGATACACAAAAAGGGCGACGAGTACGCGTTCTTTTCGCGCAACCTCAAGAAAATCCTCGAATGGAAGGTCGCCGCTGTCAGGGACTACATCACTGAGGTACCGCGCTCCGCGCCGCACCTCGCACACCCCAAGGAGCAAATCGATTATAATGAATTCTTCTTCTTCTTCTTCTTCTTCTTGCTCCCCCTCCAGTCGACGGAGGCGGAGTCGATCATCCTGGACGGCGAAATTCTGCTGATGGACACCAAGACCAGCAAACCCCTGCCCTTCGGCTCCCTCGGTACGCCTGCCGCGTGCCCCCCCCCTTCTTTTTTTCGACAATAGGGTAATCTTATGTAATGGTGTGCGCAACAACAACAACAACAACAACAACAACAACAACAACAACAACAACAACAACAACAACAACAACAACAACGACGACAACGACAACAACACAATCAGCCATCCACAAGAAGAACGATTTCCAGGACGCCACGGTGTGCTTGTTCTTGTTCGACATTCTCTACGTCGATGGCAAGGTCGTCATGAACGAACCACTCAAGAAGCGGCGCCAGATCCTTGAGGTGCGTGCCCCAGCACTCGCGCCACACAGTGGTCGGACCCCACACCCTGACGCGACACACGCACACGCACGCACGCACGCACACACGCACACACGCACACACACAGGAGAGCGTGACGTCGATCCCGCACCGCATTGAGTTCTCGGAGTACAAGGAAATCAGCGATCTCACCACGGGGGAGGAGGCCCTGACCGAGATGATGGACCGCGTGCTCAAGGAAGGCCTCGAGGGCCTCATGATCAAAGACATCGGCGACGTCTACAAGCCCGATAAGCGTCACTGGCTCAAGCTTAAGAAAGGTGTGTCGTGTGTGTCGTGTGTGCTGTGTGTGCCGTATGTGCCGTGTGTCTGACACGACATGCGTGCAGATTACTTGGCGGGCATGGCCGATTCGGCGGACCTGGTGGTATTGGGTGCCTACTTTGGCACGGGCGCGTATGGCGGCATGATGAGCGTGTTCCTCATGGGCAGCTACGACCCCGACGAAGAGAAATGGAAGGCACGCAGCCGCAACGTGCGCACGTGCACAAGACTCAATTCGTTTCCTTACCGGTTGTGTTTTTTTCGTGTGTGCGGTCCGAAATCGGGCAGACTGTGTGCAAGGCAGGCAACGGGTTCGACGACGCGGCACTGAAGCAGCTGCAGAAGCAGCTCCGTCCGCACATGAAACAGATTCACAAGAGCTATGACAAGGTGCCCTCCTGGCTCGATATCAACAGGTAAGAAGCTGCTATTTATTATTATTATTATTATTATGAATTATTGTTGGCATTTCAGTGGAACCCTCATAAGATGCCTCGTCACAGACTCCACGTGCCCGATTTCATTGTGACGGACCCCGAGCAAGCTCCGGTCTGGGAGGTGGCAGGCCAGGGCTTCACCGGTGCACCCCCCTCTCACATATGCGCGTGCGCATGTGTGGTATCGCGTCCGTGTGTCGCGCGCGTTGCGCGCGTTCTATGTTGAACGATTCTGCACTACACAGATTCGAAGCACCACACCACGTTGTCGATCCGATTCCCGCGAGTCACGCGGATACGCGACGACAAGGACTTCTCCACCCACACCGACGTCGTCCACCTACGCGCCCTCGCCCAGGCCTCGGCCGAAGGTAAGGCCTTACGTGCAAACCCCCCCGCCACCGCCCGGCCGCTAAGGCTCCGCGCACAGGGACCAGCATGACCAAGGCCAAGTCGGCGGCCAAGAAGGCCTCCGGCATCGGCACGCTCGATATCAAAGGCGGCGGCAAGCCCGTGTCCAAGGTCGGCGCCACCACCAGTTCCAGCAGCTCCAGCGCCAGCGCCAGCAAACCCAAGACCACCACCACCGCGACCATCACCAACTGGATGGGCAAGCCCAAGCTGGCTCCCCAGACAAAGCCGGCGGCGGCAACGCCCGACGGGCTGACGGTGGTGAAGGCGGGCGCGGGCGGCGGGGCCGATCTCCGCGCGGCGCTAATCAAAGCCGGCGCCTCGGCACCGAAGGCCGCCGCGCCCGCCGATCGGCGCACGATGCTCGTGCACTGCGTCAACGACGCCGGCGCGCTGTCGGCCGACGTCGAGGACCGGCTGGGCCTCCTCTGGGCGCAGTCCGCACGCGACGCCTGGACCCAGCACGCGGCCGGCGGCGACGATGACGAGCAAGAGGCGCCGCTCGGCGAAATCCAAATGGCC